GAGGGAACTCACCAAGAGTAGATACATAGGTCATACTTTGATGACAATCAGATTACATAGTTAAATCATTAGACGGCTTTTCTTGCACTATTAAAACAATTCAGCTTAACTATGTAACTAATTTGGAGTGATTCTGGATGCTCAATCTTTCAAGAAAGTATACAACTGGAAGAATCGATTAGTGGCATAAGGGACTGGATTGGAACCATTTTTATTCAAGAAATGGGTAACAATTTCTTACTAAGAGACAATAAACTACACACAGAGTATATTTTAAATTCAAGAACTGGGTAACAAGTTGGTACAGAAACACATTACTCTTGCCTCTTACTTTTCCTACTTCCCTATCTAGCTGTGTTGAAACCTGTCATAGAAGGCTCTTCTCGGGACTAGTGGGACCGTGATGTAACCCTGCATGTTTCTACGAACTGCTGGCTCTCTCCTGGAAAAAGCAAACTCCATAAGCAGCAGACACTCAGCAGTTATAGGAGAGACCAAGGAGAGTAACCCCGTAAGAGCAAATAAACATACAACGCCCCACCTCGGAGAGTCAGGCTAATACATCAAACACGCTTGCCTTTGGGTAAATAGAGATCTACTGACTGTCCAACCCAGTCTCACTGGTAAGTTTCGCCCTGGGGTGATATTTTACTGCTATTGCCCTTGGAGTCCGTAAATATTTGTATGGAAAATATTGCGCAACACCCTGTTCCTGTTATTCCTACACCACTGGTTTCTAGAACCTAAAACATTTTTGTAAACTTACCTTTATTTTGGCATCAACCCTTTGTCTCTGCTGGTTTTTTTCCAATATAACTCTCAACCTTCAAAAAGTTTATTAAATTTGCAACTTTGAAATGAGGACTAGTATTTCTCTTCACATAAAAACAGACCCTTAATTTTGCAAAGTGGCCAGGACACATTGTGTGCTGTGTTATTCCTAGCTTGAAAGCTCCATGGGCAAGACACTGCTGAAGAAGATAACATGCAAGAACTCCCGCAGAGGCTGAGGGATGAGGGGAAGGGGTCCTGCGCGTGAATAAACCAGCATGCTGCCTTCAGCAACCTGAAGAAACAGTTTCTAGACTCATTGTTCCATCTTGCCCTGACTTGGTGAGCAAACTCATCCCCGCCCTGGCCTCCCAGGCAGGGCACGCAGAGGCTGCTGTTCTTAGAACTAAAACAAGCCCCGGAGCATTTCCAATGATTCTAGCTGCAAAAAGACCGGGCAGAGTTCTGGAGACGTGAGTGGAAAACGCAACCAGAAAGCACTGCTCAAGATGAAAGACCAGAGCTGAAGGGGACCTTGGGGACCATAAACTCGAACACCTTTCACCATTATTCACACTAAGAAGCTAGGCCAGAGAGCCAAGGGACATGTCTGACGCTCCTTGACGGAGGCCGAACTAGGGCTCTGCCTCATGTCCCTGACCATCCCCACTTCTCTTTGGACTATTCAGAGTCCCCCACACCCCCAGCAAAGGTCTCAGGCTAGGATCCTGTTTCACATTGTTGGACTTCATCATGCCAGCGAGAAGGGAGCCACTGATGATATTTATGGGAGAGATTAGCTCATTTCACGGCAGAGAAGGGCTCCATGCAGAGGGCACAGTACATGCAAAGGCCCAGAAGCCATGAGTGAGCATGAGCATGGGTCATAACGGATAATGCAGTGTGGCTGCTGAGCAAGTCTGCTGGGGCGGCACTTGAGTGTGGTGTGTGTGTGTACAGGGGGTGAGGTGAGGGTGGTCATGACAAATACGGTTCAAGAATCTAAAACCAGGGTTACAAAGGAGTTTATATGCTGTTATAGGTTGAAATGGTTCTCTCAAAAAGATGTAGAAGTCCTCACTGCTAGTACCTGTAAATGTGACCTTATCTGGAAACAGGGTCTTTGCTGACGATCAAGTTCGGATGAGGTCATTAGAGTGGGCCCTAATCCCAACATGAGTGGTGATCTTATAAAAACAGGGAATTTTGACGCAGGGACACACAGAAAGGAGATGATGTGAAAAGAGAGGAAGAAGGCTGCGTGTAAGCTAAGGAACGCTCGGGGCTCCCAGAAGCTAGGAGAGAGGCACAGACCAGGTTTTCCCACGCAGCCCTCGGAAGGAACCAACCCTGTCAAAACAGTGTGTCCCGGAAGCCCGGGACAGCACACACCTGGGCGGGCAGGGCTCCGTGTTACAAGCCTGGCTCATGGCTGGGGGGCGGTGGACCGTATCGCACAAGGTGTCATTGACGGTCTGCTGGGTCTGGATGTGTAAGCACACCGCAATGGCTTCTTGACGGCCTAGAGGTTGGAAAGAGAAGAAAATGCAAATGACTTAGAATAACTTGTTGTGCGAGAAAAGAAAATTGGGTCTTGAGACCTCTCGGTCTTAAGCCGCCGCTCTTTTGACTGTACGGCGTGGCTGCAGGCTGCACTTCAGGGAACACGTGCAGCAAACAACTCTGCATTTTCCAAAGCCTCCCCAGTCTTTGACACTCTCTCAGTCACCTTGTAAACTCAGCCCCTCTGCTGTCCCTCCCCCAGAGACACTCACTCTGAGACACTGAGGAGCACCCCTGACTCCCCATCCACCTTTGGACTAATGTGCATTCTAAATGCACTCAAAGCTAGACGTTCCCTCAAATGAAACATCAAAGTATTCCTTCCAGACATACACAGCAATGTCCCTAAGAGGAATTCTCATATCAGCTCCTAAAGAATAACACTTTCTCCATCTCACTGCATATGTGCTAAATGTGATGTATAACTCTAATTAAAATACAGCCTGAGTTCCTGTTCACCATGACTATAGTTAGTAGTATGTCTATTACTAGCAAGAATAGCAGTAATGCCTCTCATTGGGAAAGTGGTTTGCAGCTCACAAAGTGTTTAACTATGTTATTTGAGCCCACGATAATCTTGTGAGGTCCAAAGAATGGTATTGTTATGTCCATTTTATTAATTTAATAATAAGGAAACAATTGAGAGAGAAATCACGACAACAAAAAAGTCGTAGATTCAAAACTGAAAATTAGATATCCTGCCTCCTAATTCAGTGGTCGTTCCTTTGTACTCCAGGGATTCCAAAACGCAGTACTTCAGACCAGCTTCCCAAAGCAGTGACTGCTCCTTGCCCAAGTACGAACTTTCACAAGCACATTTTTGCTTTGAGGCCAGACAGGTCTGTCTGACCCCAAAGCCCATGTCTCAACTACTATTCTTTATCTTTTGAGACCAAAAGAATCACTGGGAAATCAGAACTGAACAAAATATAAACCAAACTTTTGCTGAAGAAAATCAAATAAAAATTGTAATGGCAACTGACTATGCTATTGGAAATATGCAAATGTATTCAGTTTCATGCAAGAATGTGTGTTATATGATTCTGTTATAAGATTCTGGTTCTCTTTCCAAATGCCATGTTTCAATTCAACCATTTTACAATGTTTTGCAGAACGCACTAGGGGCCAAAAGTATGTATAAAGTATATATTTGCAATGTTCAGTTCCTTTCACTAAATTTTCTTCTGCTTTCTTCACTGCAATCTTATGTTTCTGGCCATGGCAGGATGCAGTCTTAAATCTCTGCATCTTCCATTAACCTTAAAATTTTTTTTTTCTTTTTCAGTTTTATCAGGTAGAATTGTTACAATTTGACTGCACATATACAATGTACTGCATGTAAATACATATACACAATATACTGCACATATTTTTAAAATTTACATATATATATTGTTCATTGCTTCTAAGACCATTTAGAGCTTTAGCTTTTTAAACTTACATAGCTATCAAAGGAATAAAGCCAACCACAAAATAAGAATTAATTCAAAAAGATACATACACCCCACTACTAGCAGCAACATTACTTATAATTGCCAAGATATGGAAGCATCATAAGTGCATATCAATAGATGAATGGATAATAAAGAAGATGCAGCATATACATGTAATGGAATACAACTCATCCATAAGGAAAAAGGATATTTTGCCATTTGCAGCCCTTCATTCCCTTTTTTTTTTTCACTTCAAAACCCAGAATTTTATAACTGGCATAAACATTTCCATTGCATCAAAAAAACCCCAAATACCCAGAAATAAACCTAACCAAGGGGGTTACCTATATACTCTGAAAACCGTAAAACACTGATGAAGGAAACTGAAGATGACACAAAGAAATGGAAAGATAACCCGTGCTCCTGGACTGGAAGAATCAACACTATCAAAATGGCAGCACTACCCAAAGCAATCCACAGACCCAGTGCACCCCCGTCAGAGCACTCACAACACTGTCCACAGAACTGGAACAAACAGCTCCAAAATTTATACGGAACCATAAAAGGGCCTGAACTGCCAAAGCAATCTTTTGTAGGGTGAACCTTTAAAAAAAAATAATAAACACTGGCTAACCTGAAAAACAAGGAGGCACTGCTCCAACTTCACAACTCAGGTTCTCACCTGCAAATGTCTTAATTCCTTAGTGACTTTACAGAGACATAGATGTTCATTGTCTAGCAGGTTTCATCTCTTTTTAACCTGAGAAAAATTCAGTTATCTTTCACATATACCTTAATTTTTAATTAAAGTTATTTTAAAAATGCACTCAGGGACTATTTTGGAAAGTTCTCTGGAGATTGAGTGGGTGGTACCTCATGTTAACCATTTTGATGGAATTTCCCAACACTCATGACAAATTTTTGTGTTTTAAAGCAAGTTTACTCAAAAGAATGTAAAACGCTAATGGGTGATTTAGGATACGCATTGAGGTAGTGTATTTTCCAAAGACAATCACGAGAGTATCTCACATCCCACACACCGAAACAGCAACGTGACTTCACCACTTTTCACTTCAAGGGGTTTGAGCAAAGCTTTATCTTCAAATGTAAGAGTAAAAATTATAAAAGCAAGTTTACTTCATCTTATACTTAACAAAATTTGGGTAGTAATCACAAATATATAGTTAGAAGATGTAAAATAAATCGTGTTGAAATTTCAATGTAATTTTTCTAACAAATTCCTTTGGAAGCATGAGGCAACATCCCTCCCTTTCACATTTGATTTCTGCAATGTCATAATAATAATTTTTTTTTTGGCCAAAAAAGAAAAAAAACTAAAGCCTACACCAAGAAATGAATTAATAATTAGAGGGTAAAAACACAGACTCTCAGAGGGGAAACAGAGCCAATAAATGAGCTAATACATTCTGTTTTGTTGGTTTAAGGTTAGTTTGAGTTGGGCTTGTTACAAATAAATCTTGACTAATTCAACACACCAAGTAACATCACGTACACGCACACACTCATACACACACCCAGGAAGAAATACCCAGAGCAACAAAAAAAATCTATAGTCAGAACCTTCAAGGTGCCACCCAGTATTTAACATATCAAATTGTAAAATAAATGTGGGAAAATGATTTGAATAAGAAAATTATGTTGATTTAATAACCAAATAGCCTTGGCCCCCAGAAATAGATGTAATAGGCTCTTTTGAAGCACCAGTGAAACATTAACAAAAATTGATCCTCTATTAGTCTATAAAGAAAATGGCACTAAATTCCAAAAGTCAGAAATTATCTAGGTGACATACTCTGATGATAATAAGAGTCCAACTATAAATGAATAATAAACAACTAAACTCCCCAAATCCAAACATTAGAACTTTTTAAGTCATTTCCTATAAAACTCCTAGATCAAAAAGAATGACTAGATTATACATTAGCTGTGGCAAGAAAAAAGAGAAGGGGAAGGCTTAAAGCAACCTGAGCCCAGATGAACAGCTCTGGATGATAGTTTCAGTATCATTGTGAAATAGATGACTTTTCTCCAAGAAAATCTAAATTATGGAATTCACTTAAAAATGAAGATCTTGAATTTAACAATAATGGGGGGGACTTACTTCCCCCCCCCCCGCTAAATCCTGTCCCCAAGAGGGAAAAGTAAAAACTGAATTTAGACAGCTGTAGGAACAAATTCTTTTCCAAAGTTTTGAACAGATCACATCTATCATGTGCACTATTCAAGATTACTGAAAGGTATGGAAAAGTCCAATTCATCTTACAAAACTAGTATAACCCTGATGACAAAATCTGTGAAAGAAAAAAGAGATCTACTCCATGTGGTGGTACCTTGCTCAACGCCCTATGACAGAAGCAAGCCTAGGGCCATATTGAAAAGAACAGTTAGCACGTTTATTTTTCTCTCTGCTGTTTAGCCAGTATGATAGAGTAGATGCTACTGTAAACCCCCAGGCAATGAAAAAGAGGAGAAGCATAATACGGTATAGAGCCAGGGGAGTGCCATTCTTGGGGTCAAAAACGCAAGTTTTAGAGCACTCTGAATAGGTGAGCTCTTTTAGGAACCAGCTGAGGAGACAGCTGGTAAAAATTAAGGATTGTTGAAAGCCATTTGGCCTTATAAAGGCATCTCAAACATCACTGGAGCCTGAGAGGAAGGGACCAATTATGTCAAGAATGACTGGAGGAAACTACAGCTAGAGGCCTGTTATGATTTGATGAGATCTGAAGAGAACAAAACGGCGACTGCTAATGTGCCATGTCGGGAACACATCTCCGTAGGGAGTAGGCTAAAATGAGCCACGTGGGCCAATTCAGCTTCCAGTCCCATTTTCCCATTTGTGGGAAGGCATTCATGTGCTCCATCAGGCTAAACGGAGGACACTTACATGCATCAGTATCTTTTATATACATATATATGCAAAATCCTAAATTAAACACTAGCTCGTGGTAGTCAACAGTGTAATAAAAGAATGGTACATCATGACCTCAAATATGTGTGTGTTCACCCACCAAACCACTCACACTCAAATACTCACACACACTCACCCAGAAACAACCAGACAGGGACCTCCTGCAAGCAAGCAAGCAGATAAACCCACCCACTTCCACATCCATCCTAGCCTCTGCCTTGCCGGTTGCAATTAGGAGCTGCCCCTCCGACCATTTAAGACTGCTCCTCACAGCTGGGCTTTGTACTTCATTCCCTCCATCTTCTCAGGAAATTTACTGATTACTCTGTCTTCCACTTTCATCCTGGAGCTTTCTCATCGCCTTTTTTTTTCCAACTGAAGCACAGTCGGTTTACAATGTTGTGTTAATTTCTGGTGTACAGCATAGTGATTCAGTTATACATATACATATATATATATATTCCTTTCCACATTCTCTTTCATCATAGGCTATTACCTCATATTGAACATAGTTCCCTGTGCTATACAGTAGCACCTTGCTGTTTATCTATTTTATATATGTAAATAGTCTATTTTATTTATGTGTATAGTCTC